TTACTGGGTGGGGGGTCCACATAACGTATTTATCTAAAAAGGCAATCAAAACTCTAAGCCCTAAACCCCCGTAACTTCAGGTCCTTAACCCTAAGCCCAACCAACTGCGATAAGGTCCAATGGTTAATGTCTGCCAGAGCCTACATGATCCAACACCTTAGCATGCCGGTAGTTTAGGGACCCTGGACTAGAGTCCCCGGGCATAGTAAAGAATAGTCAAATAAGGACTATGAGGGAATATGTTGGTATCAAACATACCTCCTAAACTTCTCGACCTTCCCCAGCAGTCGCGCGCAGACCGCCCGAAATGTTTGTTGGGGTTTCTGAAGGGTCTTCCTAGGGTCGACAACGCGCAGGTTTATCGTGTAGGGGCTTAGGCTTTCTAGATGCAAGCTTGTACCTAACAACTTGAGGGTGTAGTGTTTTAGATGCAGGTCCGCCTAGGTCCGGATGGTGTTGAGTGTTCGGGGCGTGATGTTCCCTTTCGGGTTTGGAGTCCTGGGCCAACCAATTTACTCCCCATCTGGCTAGGCTACGACTTTTTGGTTTCTGCAAGCCAGGGACACAAGAGTTGCCCTTCTGGGGGTCCCCCGGATACGGATCACTGTTTTTCGGTGTTTATATTAGGACCCCCTATATCTGGAAGCTACCAACTAGATGTACCATTTGGCCACAATAGTCACTCAGATTCTTTGCAAGTGGCTTCAAGACTCAGCCGGGAGTTCATAAAGTCTGCATGCTGGTGAGCAAACAGAGCTTGGCCTAACACCTAGCTCTTGATCCCTTCGCACGTACTTCATGTTGCGTGTCGCAGAAAGGGTTATAGTCCTCCTTAAGTAGATAGAATATGGGGTATATGGGGATCTTATCATAATATACCCAAAGCCATATTCTATCTACTTAAGGGGGACTATATGTCTGAATTAAGCCTCCCAGAGATTCGGTACCAGTGCAGGGGTGAATCATCATGCCTTGACGCGGTCGACCATCAAAACTGCAACCCCTTAGTCCTACCATAAAGCCAGTCACCCCTAGGGCTCTTGAGGGCAAAGGGATAATATCGGTATCGAATATTGGGTTATACAAGGGTTATACTAGGGGTTATATATGGGCTATATGGAGGTGATGGAGAAGAAAATGGAAGCTCCCTAGACCCCAAACCTCCCCAGAAACCCTGAATCATGCCGCTTCAAGGTGTGAACCCAAAACTGGCGGTCTGCCTTGTCTCGTGTTGCAGAGGGTCCTGCCAAGACAGCTCTACCAAGTCTCATCAAGTGGCTTTTTGCTCTCTGAGTTACATCTAAGCCCTCACCCACTTGTAGTGAGCAGGGGATAAAGGTAACTATAGTAAGGTCCTCATATTTGCCCTATTATACCACTATTATTATCTGGGGGCCTAACACAAGGCTTACCAAAAGTCTGGGATTCAGAGCTTAGGGATTACTACAATAAGCCATGTAAACATCAACAAATGTAACATGAACGACTTGCGGGATGGGACTTGGGAAGATTGTCAAGCGGGGTGTCCTTGAAGGGCCCTTAGGGCTTCTGTGGGGATCTTAGCAAGTCCAGCTGATAGAATCTGGGGTTTAGGGTTTAGGGTTTAGGGAACCCTAAACCGCATGCTCCCAGCTGAAAATCTTGCCATTCTTGTCCTTCCTGTTGCTCTTTGGAGACGCTGAGTCTGCATTGGCAAATCCCAGCTGATGGCACTGCCACCCAAACACACACATCGCTGCCTACTTCCTGAACCCTATTCCCACCCAATCGCTGAACACCAATCTAAATCCCAAACTCTAAACCCTAAACTTACTGCGTTATTCCCTACTAACCACCAGTACATTAAATACTGCAAAGCGCTTATGTCCTCGCTGGCCCAATCGACACCCTCGAGGCGTGCATCCAGATCGCTGATTCGCCTTAGGTGGTCCAAGTCACTGGGTTGGTTTACAAAACAGAGTCACTGCATAAACAGTAAGTGTGTAGCATTACTTACAATATTGGTTCACTAAACAGACAGCAAGGTGTACCTTGAAATTCTATAACTGCATACAGGTTAGTCGCATTCCCCCGAATTCAAGGCATGGACAAAACCAAGTACCAAGACCTTCCTAGTACCTAATTAATCTCTAAACCCGGGATATATGGCCGCTGACACAAATATATATATATACATATACATTACTATTATTCGGATGCAAATTACCGCTACTTCTATAACTCTATCAGAACCTGAAGCAGCTTGGAACCAAGAAGCTCATTGGTGTCCTGCAACCACTGCAGCCGCTGCGCATCCCTTGCAATTGTGGATGGGCGTCTAGCTTCCGCATCCTCAGTACCATAAGGTTTGGGTTTAGGGGGCTAAGGGTTGTAGGAGGGATCCCCAGTTGGGACCGCAGCTTGTGGGTCCATTAAAGATGGCCATGAAAAAAATCTACCCCCTCCCTCTGGAAGGGCTTCCACCTTTTTCAGCTTCAAGCCTAGAACTATCGCCCTACATCCTAGGACACAGCTTTTGTCAACCCCGTTTGGCAGTCAGCCGGTCTCCATTGAAAAGAGCTTAGGAAACGTGAAACTCTCGTCAGCCTTGGCCGTGGACAGCTTCCAACAACTACAGCGCAGCACCCTCTCATCATATTTGCGCTTTTCTCACTGGTGGTTCGTAGGGAATCAGGAATCTAATCCCTATATAACCCCTATATAATACATTCCCTTACTATTCTCTACTACGAACTGGTAAGTTTTTCTGGAAGGGCTGGCAGGGTAGTGAAGCCCTTGGAACCCTTGCTCCTGGGGAGCTTGGTGGATGAAGACTTGAAGGCAAAGGGAAGTTCTCCCGATTCACACCACACAGGGTCCTAGCTGACATTATGTGGTGCTGAATAGGGCATGTGATCAGGGATGCTCACAATTAACGAACCAATCCCCCTCGCAACCCCTGTCGTCGTAATAGTCATAGGAGCAGCAGTAGTAGTCGTTGTCGTTGTCGTGATGGCGGTGGTGGCGGCGGCGGCGGTGGTGGTGGTGGCGGCGGCGGTGGTAAGGTCTTACTAGTAGCAGCAGTAGAAGTAGCAGCAGGAGTAATAGCAGTAACTAGCAGTAGTCGTACTAATAATAGAACTGCTTGTACTATTAAGTGCCATTCTTCATGATACAGGTGATTATACTACCTCCTCCTCCTACTCCTCCTCCTCATCCTCATGCTGTCTTGTCGTTGGACGCCAGGGCTCCTTCATGCGCGGCATGCAGGCGTCCCTATCCAGGCCCTCCAGCGTGCGATGGAGCTTCCCCATGATTCGGAGGAAGGGTTGCGTCCCTGGGTTCAGGATCCATATTGTGGTTAGTAATAGTAATAATCCTACTAGCAATAATATTACTAATTAAGAGTAATAACAGCAATAAGAATCATCATAAGTAATGGGGGGTTACAGGCTTCTGGGTTATGGCCTAAGTGCAGCTGTTCAGAAGGAGGACCTGCTCCCCTTTTTCCTCATCCAGGATGTGGGTTTCATGTCAGGGTTGCTCAAAATTAGGGGTACTTGTTCCCATAGTAAGGACTATGGTATTTGGGGGTCTTTATTGGGGTACTCCTACTTAGGGAAACTACCATGTGCATAACGGAAAACGCTTCATCTGCTAGCTGATGGGCACATAACTGATCCTAAGTCCTATGGTGTCTCTTCAGATCAGAACAAAAGTTGACCAACATGTGAATCCCCAGCCTTGAGGATACATTATGTTGGCACATCCAGACCTGATCTGGCCTTGAATCACTCTTCACTGGCGGCCCTTTCCCAAGATGGAAATTACAGCAGAGTGCAAGGACATGAGCGTATTTCAGCGAAATTCCGACGGATTCTCTTCGTTCGCCAAACCTGCTACATGCCCACATGCTCATCAAATTCAGTATCATACTGTGAAGCACTCCATGGCCTCTGGTGGCAGCTGTTCTGGTGAGTGTTGCTTTGGTTGGCGGACAACAACCATGCCTAGCTCAGAAAAACCCAGCTCAGAATAAAGCTACCAGTATTTCCAGGGGTTCAGGTCAGAAATATGGAGACATGCAGGGCTGTGTACATCAACAGTACGAACTACCATGATCGTGATGACTCCGGGGCTTCTTCCTGCAGATGTCTGACCAAAGAATTGGATCAAATCCAGGGAGTCTTCCGGGGACTGCAAGGACGACATCGCGAACCATCACAACAGAGAAAATGCGGCCGGGAAGCTGTAGTTCCACAGGTCAAAAAGCCTCTGGACCTGTGGATGGGAGCATGCCCACAGCCTTCTCAAACTGTTTGGCTTTTCATGGTCTGTTCTGAAGCTGGCTTTAACAGCCACAGTCGTGGTCGCACGCGCTACGTGCGAGCTACATCCTACATCTTACTGGGGCTTGCCTTTTCCAAGAATTCATGTCTGGTGGCTACCAGATAGGTGCCTTCAATCTCAAGTCTGAAGCAGCGCTCCTTGCCCAGGATCCTAGTTTTCACTCAGGAAACTACGCGTCATTACCTCTCACCCATAAAGCCTACACAAGCAGACTCTATCAACACGCTGCCCGCTTTGGAGTCACTGCCACAGTGAGCCTCTTCATCCTGAAGCCAGCTATCTCCTAAGGGGTTATATGAGGATAATGGAAAAGAACATGGAAACTATTACATTATAATAGGGTTATATAGGGCTATAATATATTGGTTATATAGGGATAGCCCCCCCCCTCTTGGCTTTTTGAGGTGTTTGGGCAGGCATCCTTTTGAAAGCTTCTTTGCGGGCATTAGACCAGGGATCTCTTGATACTTCAAACGCTTCTAGGCATATTTGAAACGCTGAGCCCTCAACCCCAACACTAAAACATCAAACCCTAAACTGTGATTCCACAGCCAACCATGGGGATCCACGTCTATAGATGTGACCTAATTTGGGCTTCTTAGGCGAGTTTAGGGTCTAGGCCTTCTTGCCCACTTTGGGCTCCAAATTGGAGTTCAGGGTTTAGGGCCCGAAGTCTGCGCATGGTACCTGCTTTGGGCTATTTGGGTCCTGCGAGCCCTCGGTGCCTTCGTCCAATCATTGCGGGCCTTCTGAGCCTTTGCAGCCAGCCTCTCCCGTCTTTCTCGGTATCCTGGACTTGGGTCTAGGGTTCAGGGTTTAGGGTTAAGGGTTTAGGCTTCAGGGATTAGGGTCTGATTAGGATTCTCTGGAGCTTTAGCGCAACAATCAGGCCAGCTGTTTCTTCCGTCTCAAGTAGGTGTATGAAGGACACATGCCAGTAACACTCGCAAGACAATTCACGGAAGATTCAGGAGGCAAACGCTCTGAAAAGACGGACTCCATTCAGAAAACCATCTGGATTTAAGGAACGTTTTTGGGCCGAATTAGAGGTCCAGGAGTCCCTTGAAGGCAGAGGCAACGTTTGGGCCAAAATCCTCAACTTAATGAAATCGAAGGATTTTTTACATGATTTCCTGGTTGACTGGTCCTTGAAAGGTTTTTGATCGATTCACGAATGACTGTAAGTAGCTTATGATTTTGGGGATCTGGGAAGCCCTAGAATACTGGGGCTCGGATGGTATTCTTGGAGGGGGACTGGGGGGGCACCCTCATTAATCAAGAGCGCGGAGTTGTACCAGCATGTACTAATAATACTGTAGATGCAGGAAGTCTTGCACCACCTAATGCTGATACCCCCCGAATATTTACCGTATTTGAGGGGGCTTAAGTCTGTAATGCAAGGTACCCTCCATCCACCGTAGTAGTAGATATTGCTACTAATATTAATACTACTATTTAAAATAGTAAGAATGATGATGATAGGAATGATAGCCAGTTTACGACTCTGAGGCGGGTCGAGGCCCCAACGTGCACGCTTCGTCTGCCTGGAGAACTAGAACAAGTTGGCGCGACTTGTTGCAATTCCTAAAGACTCTACCAGGCACTAAGTTTTTACAAGAACTGATACCATCCGACGTGATTTCGAGGAACTCCCGACAGTCCGATTCCTATGCTACTTACATTGTCAATTGCTCCCCCACAACAAGCACTCTCAACTTTCTTGGGAACCCCTTTATGGGGAGTTCCCAAAATTAGGGGTACTTTTTTGGGGGTCCCCATAATAAGGATTATCGTATATTTGGGTCTATAGTGAGGTCCCTCATTTCGGGAAACGCCTTTATACGCCAAGAGTCTCTGCTGCTGCCTTTGCAGCTGCGCAATCTCGTCGATCTGCTCCTCGCAGGATCTCGAACCAAGACCCACTACATTAAGTGGAATCAGAAGGATGAATGAGCTTTAAGGGGTTTAGTAGGGAACAAGTAAAGGGAATACAATCCCCACATATAGCATATTCCTTATAGTCCCTACTTACCCCCAGTAAGAAACATAGTCGGCGCCGCAGATTCAAAGCTCCCCGTGCAAAGCTTAGTGTGCACACATGAGCTATACTCTAAACTCCTAGGATTCCCCTTAATAACCCCCATAATATTGCCCTGTATAATCCACCTTTAAGGAGTTTAGACAAAAGCTCATATGCTAAGGTATTCTTGGATGAGTTGAAAGCAGACAGACTTTCAGGGAAAGCTTCAATGTCAGCAACATTGATGATTAAATGGGCTAGATGCTCCTTCACATTGAGCCATCTATGCACGAAGAACTTTGCTTCTGCTGCTGGCCACCCTGGTAAAGAACAACTATATTGTCACTACTCCAACATGGTTGTTGATACCGCAGCCAGAAACCGACTCTGCTTTTTCGGTGAACTTCACATTTTACTCACGTGGCACGAAGTCAGGGATTCTCGTGCCAGGGTCTTCATGCAGTATGTTCTTGTCTTTGTGGGCGAACCCTGACATTGGCGACAAGAAAAACATTACAAGCAACGACCTCGGGTCTCAAGCGGGCCAGAATCGTCTGTCAACAGGAATGCTAAGCCAAGACCTTTTGCGGACCCAAAATGTGTATGATGCTGAGAAGCAACGCAATGCGTGTTCCCAAACCAGGGACCGCAGAATTGACAGCTACCCGCATATTTCTCTGATTGTATGACAACCCCCCATAAGACCCATCGACAATAATTATAACGAAAGGTAGGCCCCGCGCGAAGCAGATCAGGATGGCAACGACGCAGACCTCCACAGCAAAGTAAGTGTTCCAGAAATTAGGCCTCCCTTTCTGAAGGCCCCTCATCATAATCGCAAGGATTGCAGTAACAGTAGGTAGGATGGGTATCACGGGATGACCTCAATGACTACTAGACCCTATGGAACCCATCTCCCTAGGCCATGGTCTCTGTTTTTGTGGTAAAAACCCCTAGCATGCAGGGTTCCGCGGTGTCCCAGGTAGTGATTACACTTCACCAACCCCAACATTTAAGAGGCCTTACCAAGGGTTCCCGCTCCAAAAAGAAACCCTTCACCCGGACGTCGAAACCCTAACCCCAAATCCTAAACGCTCAATATCACTGATCCTTTCCTCACAATAACAAGCCCCGCACCCCTGAATAACAAACCGTCCGCAACAATATCATTACATATTAGGGTGTAGGGTAGGACATGTGTCATTAGGGGGGTGAAGGTTGTACGTGTCATTATCAGCATCACGATGGACAAGGCCATCGTTCCTGACACATTGTTCTCATTTCACACTTCAAGCTGCCAGAGTGCCAGAACCTTGCATATGAGTCTTTCTGCCAACCCCTAGGACCACAGAATGGCTACTATCTGAACCCTGCATTCCATTTTATTTTTGATTTTCTTTGCTGCTTGAACTCTCAATGATTGGGGAAATCTCCCTATGCGGATCCCTTCAAAGGGGCCTAGGGTTTCTCTTGCTGCTGTCTATGTTTCTTGTTCATTTGGTTCGCCGCTTTGGGGGTAATATCCTACACCAGAGAATCCATATATAACCTCTACATAAGCCGCATTTCAGCCCACGTAACAATGTCATGGAGCAAAACAAGAACCTAAGCAAACAGATAGATAGACATATCCCGCATAAATCCCGATGCAACCAACCCCCACCAACGTAGATGCCCCCAAAAAACCTTTTTGCGTTTAGGGTTAGGGTCAAGGGCTTAGGGTTTACAGGGTCTTGTGGCTCCCAAAGGTAGCCACCTCATTTGCAATGAACACGGCCATGAGCCACGGCCTGTAGGCTATCGCCTGGCCATCTCGGGGGTCTGTTTGGAGGACCAGATTTTAAGGGTTTAGAGTTTAGGGGATATGGTGATTACAAGGGGATTCTCAGGTCCTTGTTGGGGATTATGGTTGTTTTCCAAATAAGGCGACCCCAAAATCCTCTACTCTAATCCTTATTATAGGGCAAAGGTATCCCTAATTTTGGGAAATCCCTACACGGAGGGATTGTTTTGAGCTTCTATCTGAGGGTTTCCGTACATAGGGGGCTGCTATATTCAACCGTGCTATGCACATGGACCCTTCCGCTGAAAGGGCCCGGAGTTGTTTCAAATTCTCATAGCGACAGCTTAGGTGTGAAACTGAAAATGTAGGCTAATATAGCTTCAGCTGGAGATTTCCCTCCTGCACAAAGATGGAAATTTACAGCGGCCTGTGGAAAGAACGACTGTCTTAGCATGGCTATTTGGGGCTACAAGTTCCACGGTCTCCTCGAAAAGATCTTAACACATATTCCCCTGAAACTTGTTTAAAGTCCTTCTCTGGGATGTTTGAAAGTGGACAGACTGCTTTTGAGTCTGGAGGTGCTGGAAGCCTTGTTGCACTCCATTGTACGTAGCGAGACGAAGCTAGAAAGCTGCACTTGGACTGCTTGAAGTTAGGAAGGTGGGACTTGTGCAAGCTCGTGTTCCCAGCTAACCCTTCACGAGATGATGCTATGCCCCGGTTCAAGAGCTTCAAAAACAGTTCCGACGAAATCCGGTCCTAGAAACGTGGTCGGAGTACTTGAAGGGCGCCTATGCTGTGTTGCATCTTGTATAACTTGTACGGCAGGTTCTCCCCAGAACGAACATGTAACCTGAAAAGTTCAACTTGCAACGTATTTTTTTGTAGCAAGCCATGCACAGACCCTTATATGTGTTCATCTTGCGACGTGCCCAGAAACATCTTATCTGACAAAGCCTCTGCATGGCTACTATTCGTGAACGGTTATACCTTCACTCTTCAAACATCATGTCTCGTCACGTGTGGGATTCTGCTCGTCCCTGAAGCCCAAGCAGCCCTAATGCCCCAAGCCTGACTTACTGTGGGTGGAAGAAACCTGGCACCATCCTATACACCAGACTATGGCATATTACCGTATACTAGAGTAGATTATAGTATATTATGGCATATTATAATATATTATGGTATGCTGGTATGCTATAATATATTATGGTATATCGTGGTATATTATGGCATGTGACCCAGGAATTGCAGTACATTTGGGATCTTAAGCGGTGCAAGGTTTGCTCCATCCACCGCAGCAAAGCAGTCACATGAATTCTGTGTGGTCGAAGCAGAACAGATCTGCTCCTCAATTGGGTAATACCTTCATTTCAGTCCATGGCGGATCAGGGCCTATGTTTCTGGGATCCACTGGAAGAAGCTTAGCAAGCCAGGCTTTAGGCCAGCACAGGCTTTGGGATTAAGCCTTGAGTCAGTCTTCACGCCAGTCCAATCCCTACCACGCACCCACCTCGTAGACAATCATGAGAATGTCAAACAGGAGAAGCAGGATGAACAGTTGATGCCTTGCCGACAACACTGTCACCTAGGCCCAAAGGCAGAATCACAGCTCAGGAAGCGAGATGGCATCTTAGTTAATAGTTTCCATTTTCTTTTCCACTATCCCTCTCATGATCCCTTTGTATAACCTTTATATAATCTCTATTTAACTGTTATCCCTATATAATGTTACATAATCCCTATTTAAGTTCCTTAACAATTAGAAAAGTACATAGACTCAAACCTTTCGGCTCCACATGTCTGCCTGCATCTGCTATTGCATCTTGATTCTCATGAGACCTGTTAAAGTGAACATGTGGATGTTGTTCCAGGAACATGAGGTATGGGCCTCTTAAGAATAGTAATACTAATATTGATAGGGAATAATAACAGCAGCAATAATAATAGTAATAATAGCAGTGTATCTTCACAACCTCCACAAGTTGGGATCCTGCTATCCTCATAGATATGTGTGGCCCAGGTTCTGAGAAACAACCACACGCCTAATGACTACAGTGGCTAAACTCCACTGATGTTACCCAGCTGAATAGTGTTTTCTTGGTGGTTGGACCTCGTAAGATCATATCCCTTACAGAAAATACTATACCCAAAAGGACGATATAATCTTACTCTACATTGGGTACCATAGTATTCTCGGCCATCAGGCAGTCATCGAAGCTCCTGAGCGCCTGGTCTGTTGCCAGCGCCAAGACAATGTGGTGGCTGTTATCGCAAAATTTCTACTCTCTGGTCCACATAGACGGCAATGAGGGTCAGAGGAGTCTCGGATGTATGCTCAGAAGAACAGCTGTGTGCAGAAAGTTGCTGCTCCTTCGGACGGACAAGCCATCCAGAGCCGTGCTCCAATGCAGGTCTCTTGCCTGCAACTGTAATCCAGTGATTGTCAAAATTAGCTGGCTCACCCATGTCTGATCTGCAAACAGCTCGGGTCTTCCCATCAGGGAAATGGGCCACCCCAGAATTGAGGACAGCGTCATACCAAGTGGAGAATCCAGTGCACAAACGCGACATTTCACGTGAGGAGAAGCAACTTTGCATGGAACCTGAAGTAGGGGCTGCAGCCAAAGCCCTCTCCTGCGCACCGCCATCATCTTCATTGCTCAAGCCCAAAGCGACATCACGGAAGCGCTTGCCCGGGGGCGTATCGCCAGTGGTGTCCCTAACGTTCGGCGGTGGGGCTTTTCTTGAGGTAACTTCTGCATCCGCACTGTTGGCAGCATTCACACTAACCCCAGTTGTTCCAGTTTGCCTGTCCGGATCGCTTTGCCTTGCATGGCTAGCAGCCTTTGCTGCGCGCTTGCATTGTTTCTTGAGTCTGCGCTTGGCTTTGACAGCCTCACGCCTCTCTTCTTCGCTTTGCACCAGGACGTCCACAGAAGCCGCAGTGCCTTTGGCAGTCTCACCTCGGCCAGTGTTCGGTGTCAACTCTGCAGGTCTCGCAAGGACGGAGACGACTGCAGCTGCAACGTCTTGCACAGTGCGACGAGGGGGCTTGGCCAAACAAGCAGCACGGACCGCTGCTGCCGCTCCTATAACTGTGGCACCGCAGAAAGGCCTACGGGGGGCTACCACAGTCTGCAATCGCTTGAGCCCTTTATTGGGTACCATAGTACCCCCCAAATAAAATATTACTCGACTATGACTCCCCCCCCTTCGGAGCCCGAAGGATGAACAACAACTTACACCACCTGAAGTCTATAGTACGGAAAACCGAAAAACCTCAGCCTCCTTTCTGAGGATCGTGTGATGCCTGCTGTGGACACTATAGTGTTCTCGAAGCTTCCATGCAAGGGCCCGAGTTTGGCAGATTTGCTGCTGGGTTTTTTGGTCCGCACACCTGGACGCCGCTTTTATTCAAACTCATGGATATGTCAAAGGAACCTACCCTCACCCCAACCACAAACGAAAAAGAAGCCTGCCTTAAATCGCTGTTGCCACGGTGCGGAGACACAGCAGAAGCCAATTGTTCGCGGCCACTCCGGCCGAAAGAAGTCTCTGTCTCTGGTCCTGAAGAACCCATCCATGGGCAAGCATACAAGAGAATTTACACTGCCCTTTTGGCTCTTCAAGGTAGTAGTTTCCATTTTCTTTTCCGTCATCCCTATATAACCCCTGATATACTATAACCAATAACCAATTGTCCCTATAAAGCCCCAACATAACCCCTGATATACTATAATATACTATAAGGTACCCTGGGCTTGATGGATGAGGCCTTAAAGCCTGAGAGGTGCAGTATAACAATCATGCACGCCGCATGACACAGACAACCTTATCAGCTACTACCGTTTCTCCTGTTGCCTCTTGCTGTTCTTATGCTTCTTCTGCTGCGCTACCTAACCTTGTGAGTGTGGCAGTGCTCTGTGCAAACTAGGGGAGTCCAGTCTCTTGCTCGCGCACACTGTGGGAGATTGAAACATTTCGAAGAGCCTGCACCTTCAAAATATGATCTCTCGCACCATCCCATTCATATTCCCAAATGTCCAGCTATCTATAATACCTTCAATATAGCTGGGAGTCAGAAGCAATTCGCATGCAGGTACCTTGGGGCCTAAGTATATTTCATGCGGTATCTGGACCCTTGCATTCTTCCCTTTCAATGTATTCCTTTAGGTGTCCCACCATGTAATAGTGTTACAACAGGAATAAAAGCTGACCCTAATATAGTTACCATTATCCCTTACAATCAATATTACTGGGTGGGGGGTCCGCCTAAAAGGGCTAACCCTCCCCCCCCCATTTCTTTTTATCCTTGGACCCTTAAGCCCTCAGGGATCGCCTTCTAAACCCTAATCTCTTCTCCCAGGCTGGGTCCTTTCCACCTGTAGCCCAAGGCCTCAGGGTTTCTTTTGAATAGGATTAGGGTTTTAATGATTAAGGTTTAGGGTGTTAATGATTAAGGTTTAGGGTTTTAATGATTAAGGTTTAGGGTTTTAATGATTAAGGTTTAGGGTTTTGGGGGGTTGACCCTTCAGGGATTTTAGGGACACATGAGCTATTGTCTAAATTCCTTACGGGGGATTATGTAGGGGAGTATTATGGGGGTTATTAATCAAGAGAAGAGAGATACCAGGAGTTTAGAGCATAGCTCACATCGAGAGCACAAAGGGGTGGCGTCTATGTCTCTATTGAAGGGATTAGGTAAAACTTGTTATTTGGTAGTTTCCCAGTAAGTGGACCCCATTATAGACCCCAGTATACTATAATCCTTAATATAGGAAGCCCGAAAAAAAAGTACACCTAAATTTAGGACACCCCCATCTCGAGCAACTCCCGCCTGTGCATCCCCATCGAATCCATGAGATGCCGCACTTGCGGCTGGGGTCGTTGGAAATCATGAAGGAGCCTTGCAAGGTTGATTTTTCCCAAGGAATTCGGTTGTGTTTTGGTGTAAAACATGTTAAGCTTTTGTTCACATCAGCGGTTATTTTTCTCAAAACCCTAAACCCTAAACTGTGTTTTTGGAGCTTTGTCGGCTTCATGGGAGTGTGAGAGCTTGTAGGGGCTCAGGGTTCCAGGGTCTCAAGCTCGACACTGAACAGCACGTGGGAACCAAATCCTATAACCCTAAATCCTAACCCCTAAAAGTAGTTTCCATTTTCTTTTCCATTATCCCATTATATAACCCCAATATTATACCATAGTATCCCCAATGTGAGTCTTCTTCCATCCCTCGCCGTTTTGATCGGGCAGAAGTATACGCCCCAACATATCCAACCAGATGCTCTACGATGTGACAGACCTTGCAGCCGACTAGTGGGAGCTATCGGAACTTCTGAAGGTAACGCCCCGCAGTCTTTTGTTCAGACACCCAAATTCAACAACTGAACCCTACACCCTCAAGCAAGTGCCGCAGAGACGCTGGATACGCCCGAGCCCGAGATGGTCCGTGGGTTATCCAGGATGCAGAGAGCATCCTGTCATAGGGTGCTTGTTTCTGACCGGCTGGATGACAACTTATTGGTATGGTTACCCAGTAGGATGCTATAGGATAATGAAACAACATGGAAACTATCATTTAGGGTTTAGGGTTTAGGGTTCAACATGTATCCTGCTCCTGTGGCCTGGGGGATTGGAATAGTGTATTTGACAACTCGAAAATTTACTGCACAGAGGATGAACGGCGATTCTAGTCATGCGGGCTTTGACATTACGTATGATGTTCGCCTGCACAACAACCCTAAACCCTAACACCCTAAACCCTAAACCCTAAAACCCTAAACCCTAAAACCCTAAACCCTAAACCACAAATCCTAAAGACGATGAGGCCTGAGCCCTAAAGCTCAGCAGAAAGAGACATCCCCACCTGGACGAACTCCTGGCCAGCAATGCACTGCTCCTTCAGCCTCAACTGGGTCCTACTCATAAATTACTTTACCATAATGGGTATATATAGTACTTAATATGGTTTGCCCAATATAGTAACTTAAATTAAGCTCCTTAACAGCAACCCAGTAATTCTAGGGGAACATGTTGGTGTTTCCATGCATGTAGCACATGCCCGCCTTACTAATACCAACTCCCGGAGGAGGGGCTTTCAATGGGAAAGTTTACATAGGGGATATGTAAGGTGTATATAGGTACCCTGGGAAGTTACATCAGGGGTATATACGCCTTGTGTAAGGCCCCTACATGGTAACTCCACTCCTTTAATTGCCTTAGACTCGATCTTCAAGTAGAGTCGGCTTGGAATACCATGAACTCGGACAAAGCTTGCTTGGAGGGCTTAGTTCCTGGCGTGGCTGTTGCAAGGGAATGCAGGGATGCATGAGGAGTTGTCCAAATTGCGGCGGCCCTGGTATAATACGGCCTCAAATAATTATACAGGCTATAATCTAAACTCCTTAAAGGGGTTATAAAGGGGATGATATACGGGAGTGTTATTGGGCCCATTAAGAGGGATACTAGGAGTTAAGAGTGTAGCTCATAGTGTATAGAATACCCCAAAGCCTTGTGGACAACCCCTGCAGGGGAGGCCATGAGGAATCACAGAGGGGAGGCAGATGAAGACGTATATACTGGGGATCCTATTATATACCCAAAGCCATATGAGCCCTAGTCTAAACTCCTAGTATCCCCATTAATAAGCCCTATAACAGTCCCCCTATATAGTCCCCTATATAACCCCCTTTAAGGAGTTTAGGCTACAGCTCATATTCTATCTACTTAAGGGGGACTATACGTCCTCAGAGCTTTTTCCAAGGGCCGCGCTCCGAGCTTCTCTGCTGCAGCCTCGAGTGCTGGAAAACTGTGGGCAGCCGTGGTTCAGGGTTTTGGGGTTTCGGGTTTAGGGTTTTAGGGTTTTGGGGTTTAGGGTTTAGGGTTTAGGGTTTTAGGGTTTTGGGTTTTGGGTTTAGGGTTTCCAGGGAGCATCGGGATGCCCAAAGAGGTGGATTCCAGGGTTACTGGGAAGGTCTCGAAGGTATGCGCCCCTCTTCTTACTGGTTCTTAGCAGGGAATGAGGGAACATAATCCCTATGAAATATATTCCCTTATTCCTTCCTAAGAGACCAGAAGGGGGGTGACAAGGCCAGGCACCATGAAGGAATATCACAAGCATTGTGTGCCGTTCTGTTGCTGGGTCGATCTAGCATCGATCGTACTGTTATGCGGCACATACAGAATCGAGGAAACAGATCATTGGATGATACCAATATCGTGCTGTTTACAGTATAGTCCCTCTTAAGTGGATAGAATATGGGGTATATAATGGGGATCACTACAAGTATTGGAGGGGAGGTTTGGACCGCATTGGGTGTGGCACGGTTTTGCAGCATGGGCCGGGGTTTGCTTTCTTGCTGGAAAGCTTTTCCGGCCTGTTAACAAAAAGAAAGCAGCCCAATGTGTAGTGAAGCCAGGTTGAAGCAAGCGTGCCAAGCAAAAATGCAGCTACATCATTTTCAACAGGCAAGTAGCGGACTGTGTCGACAGACCACATATTCGTCCCTGAGGCTAAGCTGCGCTATCTGCTATCGCAGCTGCACATATTCGTTTCTATTCAAGGGCTGTGTAGGCTCTTAGGCTACTTCATTACCAAGTGTTTCACGTCTCGCTGAGGCCAGCCAGCGACTTAGAGCATTCCCCATTTCGGAATCGGAAGGTTTTGAAAACGTCAAGGGGGTCACATCTTCAGGGCGTCAATGTGAGGGACACTCGCATTTTGAGAAAAGAGCAAAAGCAAACAGCTACGTTCCAGACATGGATTTTCCTCTGATCCATGGTAGTTTCCATCAACTCGGGGGTCCGCCTGTAGACTTGACCCTTGGTATAGGGACCCCAAAAAGGGACCCGTAATTTTTGTCAGACACCCGCATGATGCTGCAAAGCTGCGTCGCCATACGCGTGCTGTTCAGGCGATTGATGATCTCGTCACCTTGAAGGGAGGCGTCTACAAACTCCGAAACATTCCATCAAGTTCTGAAACCACGAGTCGCCGCAACAAAGAGCATCTTATTGAGACACACTGACCCCTGATTCCCAAATGTTCATCAGTCCAGCCACACACTCTCTTTCATCCTCACCTTGCGCGCGCATGATTCAAGCATTGCAAAGGCCCTAGAAAAGGGATACCAAATCTCCACACACTCATAGCGGCAAAATGCTTTACAAGGCACAGGTGGCTTCCACCTCAGCTAGGCTTGCAAGCTTGAGATTACACTTAGTCTACATGGATACATGCTTTCCAATACATCTCCTACATGAAGCTTATGACAGCGGCCGTCATACTCTCCTGGTACGTCTTACATATCCTTGGGGTCCCCAAGCTACCACTTGAAAAGCTCCCACATGGAGATTAGGCAGGGCCTGTACCTGAGCCCTAAACACCAAATGGTAGTAGCTTCCACTTTCTTTCTCTTCCATTCCGATATACAATCGCCATGACCCTAAAACCCTAAAGCCTAAACTCTATACCTATACAACCCCCATAAAACCGTTATATACCCTCAGCCGGAATGTAACCTCCTCTATTTGATATTCCCTTAACCCTATGTAACCCCAAATAACCCCTATATAACCCAAACATAACCTCTCCCTCTCTCTCTCTCTCTATATATATATATATATAGATACATCTATGCGAGGTCCAGCCACGGTGATACAGGAAGCCAATGCTGCGTCGAGCCCCTCGCGCAGCGGTTCCTTCTCTCAGAGATTTGAACGCATTTAACACAAGATGCGAGTAGTTCCAGCGTTTGGGGCCTTACTTAGAAGTCCCAAAACAAGAATTATGTTTTTCAGCCGTAGTAGAGGAACGCTCCTGAAACTCAGAAACACCTGATCTGATGCTGGGCTCGGGTCTAGCAGCCTCTTAAGTCACCCTGCCATAGTACTCGTTACTTGAGCAGAGCCCCCGGCTTTCCTGAACCATGGGAACTCTACAGGGATTCTATGGGGATTCTTTTGGGATTCTAGAGGGGTTCTATTGAGATGATACCCTTTGGCTGGGTTCTGCAGACAAAGCTTCAGGATCTAGGAGGCTCTGGGCGTAGATGTCCAGCCACTTGCGCGCGAACTTTTTAAACTGCTCATGCACGGCCGGATCGACATAGAGTTCCTTACCAGCAATTGCAATCACTTCGGTAGGTACGCCAAACAAAGAGCCCTTACCCAATTGATTAGCTTGACTCAGATATCGAAAGAAGGGCTTTGGCATAAGATAATTCCAACGTCTCCGAGCTGCTGTGTGATAGTACTTCGTACCTATCAGGAACCTTTCGAACTCCTCGCGGCTTGTGGTGAAGCAGCTCATGGCGAAGGCAGCAGCATTGCCAGTTAGGTCATCAATGACCTTGCGCATTTCCTCTTCAGGGCGCAAATGTCCAAATGTCCAAGCGATCGTTCTGTCCGTATGCTAGCATGTTGCAAGGCAGAGCAAAATCGAAAAGGTGATCAACGGCGCAGAAAAAACAATCGAGTTTGAGAATCGCTGGTCTAGCTCACTCTTGAAATTATGGGTTGACCCATATCCCTTAGTTAGCTTGAATTTGCCCCAAGGATTTCCCAAAATAGCCCTAATGAAGAGCGGGGTTCCGTGAGCTTAGGTTCCCTTCCTCTTGACCACTGCTCTGCGACCTGCAAATGCCGAAATCCGAATGATCCTTGCATCGTCTGATAATCCGTTTGAGAACTCAGTGTAGTACTACACATGAAGTGCAGCCACGTCCCTTTTGGATCTTTCGGAGCTCATCCCCTCCCCCTAGAAATGACCCCCGCCCAGCCCCTCATCACAAGCATATGTAGGACCACTGTAGGACCACTACATACTCAGGTTTTTTTCAAGGGTTTAGGGCTTAGGGGAATGGTTTATTTCTAGGCAGGGCAGGGGGCTTCAGTAGTTGAGAGAAGGGAGGAATTTGAGAATCATGGCCTTCACCTCGGCGCCATAATCCTTGACCAAAGACCTGGGTTGCTCTTAGGGAACTTACCACTTAATGGCATACATATATATATAATAATCAATAGGGTTTCCCCAACCTGGGATAATGGAAAAGAAAATGGAAACTACTATAATGGGTTCTATAGGGGTTATATAGGGGCATATATATATATATCTATATATCAATCAATAGGGTTTCCCCAATATGAGCCATAGTCTAACCTCCTAGTCTCCCCCATAATAACCCCTATAGCAGTCCTCTATATATTCCTTTATATAACCCCCTTTGAGGAACTTAGATGATAGCTCACATTAAGCCCTAACCCCTATAAACTACCCTATAATCATAGTTTCCATTTAATTTTCCATTTTCTTTTCCATTTGAACTATTAGTAGTAAGTGAATTTGAATTCCTGAACAGCAACCCAGGGACTGCACAGCCTGCTGGGCCGTCTGCATGTGCTCCTCCAATGAGCCTGCCGGGTTTTATAATCCCCCCTTCAATAAGGGTTTAGGGTTTAGGGTTTAGGGTGGGGTTATTTGGGGATAATGGAAAAGAAAATGGAAACTACTATATTGTAATAGGGTATATATTGGGGTTATAATCCCCCTTAAATAGATAGGATATGGCTTCTGGTATATTATAATCTCCCCATATACCATACTTCTATCTACTTAAGGAGGACTAGGAGTTCAGGAGTTTGCAGTTCAAGGGCTGAGGCACTAGGGGCTCTAGTATAGGGATAATGGAACAGAAGAGGGTTCAGGGTTTGGGGTTTAGCAGTTGATAGAGGAAATCCCACACCACCCTAATATATGGTCGAGGTGCCGTATATTTCTTGAAATCAGCGTAGCTCAAGGGCTGTTGTCATCATTCCTGCTACTATTACCATGATTACTCCTGCCTTGCTACTATTTTAGTATCACCACTATTCCTACTATTGCTGTAACGATATAACGATGAGTACTAATTTCCTGTGTGGTGGGTGACAGATCTCCTGCTCCGACATGTTCCGACGCTGGGATTCGGTGGCCAGGGCACACATAGGATGACGCGAGGCTGAATTAGGGTTTAGGGTTTAGGGCCCTTGTAACCCCTCTGTATGGCATCCCAAATTTGCAAAGAATGAGCGACAACTTTGATTTATTAGGAATTTCAGATCTGCAGTTCCTCATCTGGTTTTTCTCCTTATAGGTGATCTTGTGTTGCTGATGTCGACAAAACATATGGTCTTGTTCGGTATACTGGAGTATGCCTCTGGCGGCTGATTTCTATAGAACACATGAACCATCTTGTTCAATTCGCGCGCCCTATCTACGTCCCGAAGGAACGGCTGCGCATATAGTCTGACTGATGGAACCAAAGGGCTCGCACTTGCCTACCAAGCCTTGCCATATTGGGAGGTTGCTAGGCAAACAAAGCAATGTGGAAACCTGAAGGATAAGTAGGTTGTCCACTTGAACATGCTTACTTGATAAAGCCTCGGGTAGAGATGTTGCGCTCTTGGCCCTTTCGGGTTTTAGTGTCCAAAAGTCCGCTCTCTGCAAACCCCAGCACAAAAGAATCCTGATAACAGTCGTCGAAAAGTGGCCTGCTGCTCGATTAAGTTAATCTAACTTATCAGAATATGGATACTCAGCAGATGCTATGGTTCCTTGCTGTGGTACCCCAATCTATTTAGGTCCCTTAGCAGCAACGGGACACACCCCTGTGGCACACTTTGCCTTGATCGTACTCGCGGATAAACTGCACGAACATGTAGTTGCCTTGGGGAGGCACTTGAGCCTAGTCTAAACTCCTCGTATTCCCCTTAATAACCCCTATAATTCTCCCCTATGTAGTGCCCTATATAGCCCCCCTAATGGAGTTTAGACTATACTTGTTCTTGAGGATTTGGGGTAAAGGGCGACGGAGACTCTCAAAGACAGCAGCCGGACAATCCCAATATAACACCAATATAACCCTAATCTCTGCATAACCCATTATAGTAGTTTTCATTTTCTTTTCCATCATCCCAATACAACTCCAATATATGGACACGAGACGCAAAGGAACGAAGTGAAAGCCAATTGCGTTCGATGGCGCTCGGAAGGGCCACTACCAGCGCCAGGATTTGTCGAACGCAGTAGGGTGATGCGCCTTTCACGCCAAACTTCCCACATGACAGCGGGAGGCAGGTTCTTCTCGAGGGCGGCTCATGACAAAACGTGGAACAAATTCATGTTCCCTGACACAATGACAATCCTTGTCCTCTTCCTTGCAAGCTACACAGCATACCCAGAAGCTCATAGGTTGAAGCCTCAACCTTCAACCTCAGCCCTGGGCTTTGAAGACAGCGAGCCCTCCGTAGAAACCCTGAGGTCGCAGCAGGTCTCGCTAGCAGCCACCACATAAATGGAGAAGGCAGTGAAAACAGTGGTTGTCACCACGCCCAGCAGCCTTGGCTTGGCTTTCTATTGCAATGCGACATGCCGTCATGGGTACGGTGAACTACCCAGAGGTGTAACGTACTGGTTCTCAGTAGGGAATAATACTGTATAGGGATTACTCGGGATTATCTTCCCCTATTCCATACTAAGAACCTGTAAGCCGTAAGCTAAAGAGCCTGGATGTACAGGCCAGCGGCCAACCTTTTCAACAGACGTTTGCTCCAGCAGGTGCATCCAGGAGAAGACGAAAGAATTCGGTGCAACTGCGGCCGTTGGTAGTTGATGGTTTTGGACGTAGTGACACAAGGAGGATGGGTACTGAGCCTGAATATGAGATGAAGTTTGATGGAGCACTGGGTAGTTGTAGTCATCCTCATCAACATGACACATGCTATGGGTACATGCCGAAATAGAACTTCCCGTATGCCCTTGACAACACGAAAAATTCTCAGCGCAGGCATCCCCCACCTTTGCCCCCAGAAAACAAAACATGCCACCCAATGTTAGCGATATCCGGGCTCGGATTTTGGCAGTCCAAGCGGCAGAATCATGTGGAGCCAATCCTGGCATGATCCTTGGGGCAGGTGTCAGAGAAGCAAAGCAGCTCTACTGTTTCCCCCGTTTTGCTTGAATGTCAACTGCTCAAAACCTCTTGCTGATGGCCCCCAACACCCAACCCCTGAAATCAAACCCTGTCAGCACCCCAAACCAAACAGTCGCAAGCCGCTCAAGCGCAACGTGCTTCACCAACATGTGCGCATGATCACACATCCAGGTATGTGCAACCCTGAACCCGAGGCTAACAAATCCCGGCAACACCTAGGAAGCACATGGGTTGGTGATGCCATGTGCCCAGTTTCAAGGGTATGTCCACAGTTTTTGAGGACTAGCAAGTCCTTCAACCACTTTTAGAAGACCTAAAGAGACCGTTTCAAACATGCAAGCATTTCTCAAGAATCCTAGATTTGGAGCTGGACGCCAGCGCCTGCTGAGTCACAACTCCTACTAAACATGATCTGCCAAGTGAATTGAATTCTGTGCGACTGCTACGGCATTCGATCAGGATTTTTTGTTGAGCTTTTTGTGTTGGTGGTAAAATCATGACGCAGGCCCTTTCAATCAGGGTAGTGATGGGGTTTTAAGAGATAAGGAAGTGTCCAACTTCGTCCAGAAATTCGGCAAGTGGCGCAGACTCTGCGGCACGCAAGGACAGCATGGTGCAAAGCAGTTGCACGGAAAGAAGCCTCAGACACTCACAAATACAGGTGTAATGCTCAGACATATTAGTATTGCTCAGCAAATGCCCATATACATGTGTGTACATATATACACCCCACCCCCAAGCAATAGCCCTAGTAGGGTCCCATTGTTTGTGTCTGTCAAGTAGAGACAAAGAATTCTGAGAAGTCCCGGAATCGACGTAGACATGCACTGCTCAGGATTCTGCTCTGATGTATGAATCCCCTAAAGCAGAGGTTTCTTGTGGAGGTTCCCCCATAAACTCGGAACCCGAAAGACCAGGTAGACACAAGGAGTCGACAAGCAGAGTCCAATGGAACTTCCCCTGCAGGGGCGTCATACCCCAAAATGGGGTCATTGTATGCTTCATTGGTGCTCTTGTCTGCCACGGAGCATGGAATCCTCATACAAAGACTACAGCATCCTTCGGAAAGGGGTCTGTCCTTGGAGGGTCATAGGGGACTTAGTGAGTGGGTTAATAATGGGGATAAGAAGATTATATGGCTTATAGGGGTTGTTGACCAACTTACTCAGTCCCCATGACCCTGCAAGTATGGGTCTCTGTGCAAGTTTCTAGCGAATGTAAGCGCCGCCAAGCCGCAGCTGTGCACTTTCGTGCAGCAGAGGCAGTCACAGCGACATGCACAGCCAGATTCGGGCATCTTTTGCTAAAGATTTAAGGAACTTTCTGTGCAGGGCTACCATGAAATACGATACACAACTCCAAGCTCTCTCAACGCACAAAGGAGCTG